AAGTGAGAGAAGCTTCATCTGTATTGACAGCCACTCGCAATCACTCACATTACAACCTGAGCTCTGCCTCCTGTCACCAGTGGCAGCATTGGATTCTCATAGGAGTGTGAACCCTGTTGTGAACTGTGCATGTGAGCGATCTGGGTTGCACACTCCTTATGAGAATCTAATGCCTGATGATCTGTCACTGTCCCCATCACCCTCAGATGGGACCATCTAGTTGCAGGAAAACAAGCTCAGGACTCCCACTGATTCTACATTATAGTGAGTTGTATAATTATTTCATTATATGTTGTGATGTATTAATAATAGATATAAAGTGCACAACAAATGTAATGCACTTGAATCATCCTGAAACCACCCCCCACCCCACTTCCGGTCCATGGAAAAATTATCATCTTTGGAACTGGCCCCTGGTGCCAAAAATATTGGGGACCGCTGTAATATACAATACACATTGTTCTGCACCATTCTTCTTTTCCTTAAAATGTATCATAGAAATAATTTCGTATCAGTTCTCCTACTTATACTTTATTCATTTTAATGGCTCCATGGCATTCCACAGTATGAATATAACATACTTTATTTAACCAGTTACCTTTGGTGGATTTTTAGATTAGTGTCAGTCTTTTGCTATCATAAATAATGCTGTAACTATGATCCTTATCCATGTATTGTCAAGCATGTGTGACTATATATATGTCCAGGTCTTCACATTCAAAGTCCTGATTTATTTTTACTAAAACTGGGTTAGCAATGGGGAAAAAATAACCAAGTAGCACAGGAGGCAGGGAAATAATAATAATTGAAAATGGTATTTACTATGTGGTAAGTAATTTATCAGTATACATTTAATTCTTAAAAATCTAGAGGAAGATATGAGAGTGCATTTATTGGATACATACCACGTGCTCAGCAGATGACACGTGTTAGTCACAGTCTTCATGATAGCACCATGAGACGTTGTTGGTGTTTAACAGATTCTTAATAAGGTTTAGCAACTTGCCCAAAGTCCCAGAGCTAGTAAGCAAGGAGCTAGGAATGGCCTGGAAGCAGGATGTCTGACTCTTGTGACTAAGGCACAACAGAGAAGGGAGTTTCAGGTATTGCTTCTACATCTAGCAGGCTGGAAGGCAGAAATAAAACTAATATACATATGAGGCTTAATTAAATGTATTGAAGTGGTAAGAGGGATAGGAAGGGCTGTTACAAGGACCAATGGAAGACAGTTGGTGGGGCACAAAAATAAAAGCGTCTGTAGCAGAGAGAAGAGGGCTTAGTGGGTCCGTGTGGATCCAGAATGCACTCTTCTCTATGGAGAATGTTTCCAAATCTAGATTGCTTTGTTCTCACCAACTGCTTCAACCTTTAGAAAAACATTCCACACCTGTACATTGTATTTATACCTTCAACAACCCCTTGTCGTTAGAATGGCAACAATTAGAATGGAACCTGTGGTGCTTGCATGCCCTAGAGAAAAAACAGCCTTAGGTGGCTGCTCTGAGTTGGACTTTGTGGCCACAGGGAGCAGAAATCAGCAAGTGCCCGCATTAGAAAATAAAAGTAAGAGTGCCGAGAAAAGTAAGAGTGCTGAGTTTCTTCAAGGCAATGCCAGTTTCTCCAGGTCAATTTCTCTTATTTTAATCTCTGTTTCCAGCAGTTCTGCCTCTTTGTAGGTATGCCATAAGCAGCCGTATAAAGGCAAAACTGTACGATCTACAGGTCTAGTAAAATTATAAGTCATGTAGATCTTATAGAAATTATAATTTTAACTGAAGTCCTCTGTATCTATTGGTTATTTTTTTTTTTTTTTATTTTTTTTATTTTTTGAGACGGATTCTTGCTCTGTCGCCAGGGCTGGAGTGCAGTGGCCGGATCTCAGCTCACTGCAAGCTCCGCCTCCCGGGTTTACGCCATTCTCCTGCTTCAGCCTCCCGAGTAGCTGGGACTACAGGCGCCCGTCACCTCGCCCGGCTAATTTTTTTGTATTTTTTAGTAGAGACGGGGTTTCACCGTGTTAGCCAGGATGGTCTCGATCTCCTGACCTCGTGATCCGCCTGTCTTGGCCTCCCAAAGTGCTGGGATTACAGGCTTGAGCCACCGCGCCCGGCCTTCTATTGGTTATTATTATTGCTGTTATTATTTTATAAACCAATTTTACTATCTAGACCATATTTCTGTGTTTGGTCTTTTAGGTTTTGAATACTGAGTTTTCCTGTTTCAGAATATCTCGTTTAATGCAGTGAAGTTTTGGTAATATTTCACAGAAAAAAAAGGTATAACACAAATATGTCAGAATTATTTATATGATGGTTATAATTTTAAAAATAATAACCAAGATATATAATTAGTGTTTCCTGTAGGTCAGAAAATATGCAGAGTTTTATGTACATTATCTGGTTTAATATTAAGAACCTATCGGGTAAGTATTACAATTATTACTGTTGTTCCCATCTTACAGATGGAGTCTTTTTTCTACATTTTGGGATTAACAATTAGAATGGCAAGAAAGCAAACTTTTGTAAAAGAAGAAAATACTTTCTAATTCTACAAAACATATTTTCTATGTTAACACTTCTCCATCCAGTCTTTCTTCAGGTATACTCAGTAATCAATATATGCACACTTTGTATTCTGCTTTTTAAATTCAGTATAGTCATAAAAACTTGGTTTTATCCGTCTTTCATATTACCATATAATGACTGCCTATGATTAATTGCCAAAATTATATCTTGATTTCCTTCTTTGGAGACATTGTTTCCATTCTCTCTTATAGATACTATTGCAATGAAAAAATATTGTATATATAGCATTATTTTATTCTCTGGGAATTTCCTAGGAAAATGTCCCCTCTTCCACTCAAAGAGTAAAGATCTTTCTGACTCATTCTAACTCCCTGAGTCAAAGTCATTTTCATAGGAACAAATAGAGTGAACGTTATTAATGCTTATTTTAAAATCTTAAGGGAAATGTCTACTTTGAACTCTTTAAGAATAAAGCCTTTTCAGTATTTTAAAGATATAATTTTGAATACATATGCGATTAAATATGGGTAATCCATATAAAGCCTAAAGAGTTAATTTTTGCATCATTTAATTTTAAAAGTAAGTGAGTGGGCTGAGGAGGATGATATATGCAAGGTAAGTATTTATTCTTCATCGACATGTATTTCTTGAGAAACTGCTGTGTGCCAGGCTGTACAGCTGTTGCCAAGGCTATGATAATGGATGGGACAGAAACAGCTTATTTCCAAATAGGGCATCACTGAAAGTCATATCACAGAGTCTTTGTCCTTGACATTGTGCCACAACACACTCTTGTCCTGACATTTCTGATTTCTTTGTTCTTTTGCTTTTATGGAATCTGACTCATTTCTTACTATCAGCCCAAGATACAAAGGATAAAGAGTATCTTACTCTCAGAAAGATATCTATATCTATATAGATATAGATATATAATTTCTAAGAATTTCTGAAATCGTATTTTCTCCCTCCCATGCCCGTTCTGGTGGGACTTTAGAAACCTTTTTGTCTTCCGAGGATGAAAGTATCTTGCTCTGTAGTTTTAGGAATCCCTAAATCATCTTATCCTCATTGTGTATATCTTAGGTTGCATCTAAATACATTTATCAGTTTATCTTTGCAGCACTTTAAGCTAAACAGAGATTTTGGGCCCTCCATGGCAGGAATGTTCTCATGTAAAAATAAAATGTAATTTAGGATATGTATCATGAATTATTAATATAGTGTACTGCAACTGCAGTTTTCACAGGTAGAGATAAAACATTTTGGGTTGTGTTCAGCGACCAAATATACACACTTCTTAGGTAAAATCAACTTCAGAATCACATTTTAACTTTTCCCTAAATTTCTCCATCCCAGAAAGGCCTACTAATTTATTGATAAATATAACTTTATTACTTTATGATATATAATTCTCTTTCAAATTCTGCTGTGCAACCTTTTTATTTTGTTGATACGCAAACATGTTGGTGGTAATTCTTTAGTAAAAATCGTATCAAGGTAACAGTTTACCATGTAGATCAAGCCGTTTGCTGCTCCATTGGATGCTTCGCTCTGGAAAACATTGTTATATCATTTTGTGGGAATGCTTCTATGCATTACCTAATATATATTGAGATTTCAGTAAATTCATTATGCATGTGTTGTGTATATTGATCAATCAGTAGACAGACTTTTTGAAGGAAAAATTTGCATTAAAATGTGATGATATCTTCCCCCAGCTTAAATTTGTATGTTATTTGTAGCTGACATGCCTGAATTAGTTTTCTAACGTTATTACATAAAAATATAATTTGAACTTTTTGCAAAGATAAGTTTTAGGATTTGGATTTACAGAGTACTCATCTTCACAAAAAAGGGATATATGGAGATAATTTCATAATGTCAGAATACTGATTCCACAGGTTGACTTGGGCTACCTTGCTGTAAAGCTGGCTCTGCTGGGTAACAGCTGACTCATAGGCATCACCAACACAGCACAGACAGAGGTAGAGAAGAAAATATTAATACAAGGGCATCTGAAAAAGGAGCTGTGATCAATTTCGTAAAACTTTCCTTAAATTTCTAATGTCCTGTAGCCTTAACATTGGGATTGAAATCCTCCCTGTTGCAACTTAGCACATACTCTACTGTCTGAACTCAAAACCCTAGGAACTACTGTCTGAGATCTGAATGTATTCTTGGTTCCAAATCAATCTTGTCACTCCTCGGAAAGCAATGCAAGATAATAAGTAGTATTCACCTGATTGCTTTCCTGCTCTGAGACAGCTGGTGACGCGTGTCTTCCTGATAACCAGGAGTTTCAGATCTAAGGCAGGGATAAAGGGAAACTGGAAGCTCTCGGAATCTAAATGTGACAGTCGATGGCTGAGGAGAGGGTCAGAAGGAATAGAATCTGTGACACGTATGAGAAAGGAACAAAATTTATCTGCTCTGGTTGCAATGATTAGATGTCTCTTTGTCTGGCTTTCCTTGCAGTGGGTGACTGATCGTACCCGCCGGCTGGCTAATGTCATAATTAACAAAGTTGCTACTACATCTGCAAAGTTTAATCGAAAAATTTGCCAGTGATATGATGGCATTGTCACAGAGATCACAAGGGACACGTAGTCGACTTTTGCTCAAGATGGAACGACAGAGCTGTGTAGGCAAGATGAGAAATTGCAAACTTGTTCGGCCAAAGGTATGTTTCTTTCATAATTCCACATCCTAGGTTTTCTTATTAAGATTTTTGTTTGATGGTTCATGGGTTCTTTTTTTGTTTCTTGACCGAAATGATTCAGAAAAAGATCCATATGCTTTTCGGGCATTTATAACATATTCTCTGAAAGCTTTTTTTTTTCCCCTAAATCTGTAAATTCATAATATAACTAAACAGATTTTGATGATGAAAATGGAATATAAAGCAATATTTTCCCGTTGGGTCTAGCTAATCTTTATCAGTTTTCAGAATAAGTATTTGGTAACAAATATCAGTGGGACATTTATATTGTATAACATTGGATTTATTTTGCTCGACAATGTAAAAGCCGTTGCTCTGCTTTATTCTATTGTGTCAACCTAGTTCTAGGAAAGGAGAAAAAGCAAAGTGTAGTTATAGAATATGTAGAGGTTCTATTTTAGTTTCAAGACATGCTCAAAGGAAAGCTAAGGTCTTGACTTAAGTCGCACAATGTAATTGGGGCTTTTTGAAACAACATTTATGAAGACGACTATCTCTTGAAATTATGTGCTATTCTCCAGGGCCAGTCTGGTCAGACTATTTACGTGTATTTTCTTTTTACTGTGATTTGCTTTGCTTGATTGACTATGCAAGATTTGAGGAGTTTCCCAAACGGCAGCCTTCCTGTATTGCTAATTAATTAGTGTGAATATTGATGAGGAACGGCATGCACCTCTGTGTATGTGGCTGTGCACTTAATCTAAGTACAGAGAGGGAGGAAGAGGTCTCAAAAAATATGCAGAAGGCAAGTTTGGGTTATTTATGCTGTGTCACACCACCGTTACAATATCTAGGCAATCAATTTGCAATATAATTGGGGACATATATTAAGGTTCTTTCCCTCCACGGTCATCTGGGTCACTATATCATAGCAAAATGCAATGATTTGTCTTTTGCCCATTACTATTGTCTTTTGTGTTAATAGCAGTTTTTAAACGTCATGAAATAACATTTTGGAAACAAATTTTGCACAGCATGTATATTTTAATAAGTTCATTGAAACTTTCTCATGGTTTTATTTCTAATGATGGGAGACTAGACGTTATCAATATATTCATTTTAAAATTTGCGGTCACATTTTATGTTCTCAAATAAAAAATGAATCATTTTATGGGATTATGAATTTTAAAGCCTTTGAGTGTCCAGATAATTTTAAACACTGTTTATCAAAATTTTGGTGGAAATTCGACTTAACAGATTTGGTGGAAATTGACTTAACCGAAATTTAATGACATCAGTAAGAAAAACTGAAAGTGGAGATTTAAATCATTATTTTATTAACTTCGGGACACCATTTTTACAGGAGAGTGTTATTCTTGTAATAACTATCTTTTTGTTTGTCTTTTGTTTCCTTAACTTTGATTCTCCACCCTAGCCCAATGTCTGGCACATAATAGACATTCAGTAGGTATTTATTGAGTGAATGAAGTAATGAATTTAAGTATTTCCTCTGTTAGTCAAAGCTGGTTAACATTTGCTTCCTCCAAATCAATAAGTTTTGTATGCAGTAAACATTGTGAATAGAAATAAGTAGATGAATGGCACAATCACAGACAATAGGGAGGATTAAGTGCCTAAAATCATATATTGTTATTTTAACCTAAACCACCATAATATTTTGTGTAATTGAGATTTGGTATTGTCAGAACTCTATTGGAGTATTGAAGGTCTATGAGGATTAGATAGTGCCCAGGAAGTGGTTCACAGCTGATGTCCCGTTTTTAGTTTTTAGTTTTTTTTTTTTTTAACAAGATTATCTCCAGAGATGTGTAGAAATGAACTCTCATCAGAGTTTCAAAGGAATTAATGTTTTTTGGTAAAATGTGCTAATGTAAAGAGTTAGAAGATTAGTGATACATAATGAAAGCAATGCATTCTTTCGCATGGAAATGGAATATAATAAATGTCCTGCAGGTGATTGGCGTTGTAGCAATTTTATTGAAGATTAAAGTTTGATTGACCTTTGTTAGGGTGATTAACCCTTCTGAAATTAAATTCAGAGCTGAATTATCCTGCTCAATTTAAATGCAAACACTGAGCAGGTCGTATGTCATTCAAATAATAATAAGAAGAAAATCTTCCTATTTTATTTTTCATTTTTGCACTTCTGATTGGTATGCTGCTTTAGAGGGACCATAGCTCTCGCAAAAACATTCTGGTGGCAGAGAATATAGAATAACATTACAGATAATTGGGAACATACAGAGAGAGTCCCAAGCACTACTGCCTGCATTCAAAACATCAAAACCACCATCCCAACAAAAGCAGGGAGCATGAAGCCAATCTATGCACACTGAAAATGTATGGTCCCAATAGAAAAACAACCTAGGGATGTCCTGAAGGAGTTAGGAATAAATAACAATGACATCTCTATTCTAGTTCAGTGCCAACCACTGAAATTGCATATCATATCCGTGTTAAATCTACAAGATGTCTCCTGAAAATGCGTGCTTTTTGGTACAGTTGCTTATGAAGCAATTTCTAAAAGTTGATTATGTCTGATGTCTGGAATTTCATTCTCCATGATCTCTGATACTTTCTGAATATATTCAGTGTTTTCATTAAGTTCAAAATGCTGTAGGAGAAGCTAACTAATTATTTGCAATGCCATTTAATGGTTTAGTTTTATTTTTCTTTGTTAAATTTTCTGAGCCTTGGTGAAAAGTTGTGTATTCACATTGCTTCAAAAACTGTTTCTATTTTTCATATCATATTAATTTGTTTAGTTCTAAGTCAGTGAATATTTTTAGTTTTAGGTCCCATCACATAGTGAATGCATCTTCCTTTTATGTGTCTGTGAACTATTAAAATGATAATAAAGGTTCTTTTCCTTCCATATGTAATTTATTTCTCTCTTTTCATCAAAGAATTCACTCTGAATCTGTCAAGGTAGAAAAGTCCAAGGCATTATAGTGTAAAAATTAAGAAGCCTGGAGGTGCTATTTTATTTTTGCACAAGCTTTTCATGTATTCTTTTAACATCCTTCTGAAAGATAGGCTCCTACTCCAAGCCTGTGAAGAAAGTCAAAGATGAAAAACTTGTGATAGAGTGACTGAGATTATTCAGCTGGCAAAGTCACTCCGGCATCCTCCAGAGAGTTGGATAATACGTTGAAGCATAGATTAATAATATGTTTAACTAAGATCTGTTTGCTGTAAGGATAATTTCCTAATTCTTAATTGTGGGACAAGTGTTCAACCATAAATTGTAAACAAATATGTAGTTCTGTACCTTGTCTGATAAAGTGTAGATTATCAACTTTAGCTTCGGTACATTCCATTGTCAAACTTTAAAAAATTCAATTGTTTCATGATAATACTTGTTTTCTTATTAAAGATAATTTTAACTAAAAGATAAACATGACCACTAAATTATATCTCTAAAATAAGCAATATTAATTCTTCAGACATAATTTAATTATCTTCTCTAATTTAATCTTATTTTACCTCTTAACAGAACTAAATGAAAATAATCTTCAGTATTAAAATTCGTTATAAATACAACATTCTCTGAAGTACAAAAAGCTAATGTGCTGAACTACAGATAACATCCTTTTCTACGTTGTCATTAATTATTAGCAGTCTTTTTATTAAAGAAAATTATGGGTTTGGAAGGTGAAATTCATATTGTCTCAGTGTAGAAAAAAAGTATTAGTGAAAGAGCAAAGGAAAATAAGATTATACTTTGCTAAATCCCAGATCCAATAATTTATTTTGCTTCAGTGTACTTCGAAGACATTTTATTTCTTTATGTTGCCTTTGTTTTCTATCAAGATTGGTTTCCACCTAATCCACCCAGTCCCAGCCCTGACATTTTCTCTTACAGTTGTGAAATAACATTCTTTGCTATGAATAAGCCAAGATTAATCCATTTGATATTTTATAGACTGCATATTTTAGCTGGAGTGTTTCTGTTTAAAAAGCAGACTGTTTTAAAAAGTGACCAATGCTGTTGTTTTATTTGTTGTGCATTGTTTCTGAGTCAGCAATTTAGTTTAATTTTATTGAAATTTAGAGTAGATGTTCTATAAGCGATTTTATTCTGCTGGACTAAGGAGAGATGGCAAGTGGCAGACTCAAGGATTTCCTAAGTTTTTTAAAAAAATTATTCATAGTTAAAAAGTAGTCACATATAAATTTTTTGAGATTATCCTCTTTAACTGATAATAATTCTAAAAAAAATTATTTGGTTAATAATGGTCAATGGAATTACTTCTTGTAATTTGTTTAATAAAATCATAAAAAATGCTCTAGAAACAATAAGTGTCCCAGTGTTAACTTTCCAACTTAATTAGGAAGATTAGTTTTCTAGGACTAGTTTTCAAATGAGTTGGAAGGTGACCTAATATAGCAGTGGTCTGTGGCCTACTTGATACAATTTATGCTATTTGTATTAAAATTATCATACTATCTCTGTATATTACTTTGGAATCAGAGAACTTTGTAAAAAGATACTTTTAACTCAAATGCCTTCAGCATTAGCATTTCTGGAGCCTTAGCATTTCAGTTTTAGCAAGCCTTTATTAAGCACCTACTATGTTTCAGGTACTCCCCTCAATCTGGTGAGGTGAGCCTATGAGCCATGTTGTATAAACAAGAAACTCACACTCAGACTGGCGAAGGTTTTACCTGAAGTCAGATAGCTAGTCAGTGGCACGGCCTGGTTTGGAAGCTGCTGAAGCCTTTCCTTCACCAAAGCTGTCTTTGGGATAATCATGGCATTCCACTTTGCTAAAACTTGGAGACTGTGAGAACAGGATTCTTGCAAGACAAATTTAAACCATTTCTGCAGAAAAAGGAATTTACTAAAACTCAGGAACTTTGATGAGATATTAATTCTGTACCGATTCACTCTAGAGGAAGTAAGAGAAGAAGGGGTTTAGAGTGCTTTGAGTAACAACACACTGGGTCACCCATGCAATGAACATTACTCAGTGGGCTTCTTTCACAGAGAGAAGACG